TTTCAGGTTCTTACTCGACGTAAGTCACGGACTGTATACGCTTGCTGTAGCTCGTTCTCTGACGTGGGCGAATCATTAGTCTTCCCTTCTCCTATTCGATGCGGAGGGAAGGATGGTGCCGGCACCACTCCCTTTGGCTTTAAAATAAATACCTTCCCGTTTGGGTCCCTCGGCGCCTCCCTCACACCGCCTTTTGAGGACGAGGGAGGGTAATAGTGTGCTAGGGGCTCCTATCTTTTCGCTCCACTGTACATAGACAGGGTGCGGGGCGGCCCTGCGATGTCTTTTTTTCGTACTCTAATCCCACACACACACAGAGACGCTCGATAACACTCAATAATCAAGACACACACACACACGCGGGGGCACCATACACACAAAACACACACACACACACACACACACACACACACACACACACACACACACACACACACCACACACACACACACACACACACACACACACACACACACACACGCGCGCGCGCGCGCGCGCTCACACACACACACAACTCAGTATTCGCTTCTCCGTCTACCCCTCCCCTGATTGCCCACCTTTGGCGTGTGGTATCTGTGGCGCCTACGACGAGAGTGGCTCTCGGTGTATCCCACACTCGCAAACTCGGTCTGAAGCGTACTACCACTCACGCTCTGGTCATCAGCAATGAGGAAGGGACGGCGAAGGTGGGATAAAGGCGTGAGTCGAGGAAGGTGACAATGAACGAGCAAGCGCATTCCACACGGTAGACCACAAGAAAGATCACGTGAACAAACAAAAGGCAGGACACGAAGCACATGCACACAGACAAACACAAACAGCACAAACAACACAAACAAACAACACAAGCAAACAAACAATGCAACACAAAGCAATAAACAGACAACAAACACAGGAGAGCGTCAGTATACCTGTCCCCGGACGTTGTCGAGATATTGCTGGTACGACTCGAGACGATCCGTGAGGCGGATGAAATTGTCCTTCATGCTGCTCACACAACGCGACACGTGTAGGGGTGGGGGAGAGGTGCCGGCAGGGAATGCATGATGAGAGGAAGGAACGGTCGACAACACGTGATGGCCAAAGACAGCAACCGAAGAAGTGAATGGCCGCATGCAAGCACTCGAACACAGACACCCACACAGACACACACAGACACACAGACACAGACACACAGACATAGACACACAGACACACATACACACACAGACACTCTCACACTTGTATATTTTCGCACGTGTCACGAACCTGAGCATGGCCTTCTTCGTCCTGGCAATTTCCTCCTTCATGCGAATGAGGACTTCAGGGCTGACCTCTGTGGGTGTGTACGCGTGCGTTGGTGTGTTGGTGTGTGCATGGCAGTGCAAGCAACAGTGAGCGAATGAATGACTGTTGTAATCCCATCTACCCTATGTTCAACTCCTGAAGGTGAGCACCATCAACAACGTACCGTGTGCCTCGAGGGAGAGCTTGCTGCCGCGCCGCACAACGGGCTCAAACCGGCTGGGCAATCGGCAATCACGCACGTGCTTTGCGTGTGAGCCAATCAAGGAAGTGAAGACGACACAGCACAGAGCGTGCACTGCTACAATCAACGAACATACATGCTCACGTGCATTTACCGCATGTGTGTACACGTGTTACAAACACACACACACGCAAACACACACACACACACACACACAAACATACACACACAGAGAAGTGACTTCCAACCTCTCAAGTTTGAGCTGAAAGACTGCGTTGTCATCGCGGGAAATTCTGTCCGGTGGCGGTGGCAGTTCTTGCATAATGCACGCGAGCGGATCGGCAGCCTCCAAATCCAGCTGCCCAACATACTTCACAAGGAGCTGTGACGTGCACACGCGTTGTGTGTGTGCATGTGAGTTGTGTCGTGTGCGTCCTTACTTGAGGTTGTGTGACGCGAAGCACATCAAACAAGCCGTGACAGCAATCACAACAGCATCGGGTACAAATGTCGACAACGGCGCGCGGTGTGCACACCTTGTGAACGGATGAGAGTTCGTTGGGCGTGATGGAGAGTGTTCGATCCATGGACGTCAGCGCATCGATCATCTCCAACTTGTGCTCGTCGTAGAAGTCATCAACCTGTCGCACGCAAGCACGTGGTGGTGTTCGAGTATGAGTGAATGTGTGTGTGTGTGTGATTGTTTGTTTATGGTTGTTTTGTGTGTGTGCGTGTGTGCGCAAATGCAATGCAGAGATATGAATGCAATAGCGGCAGAAGTTTGTGACAATGAGCACATACGCACACACACGCACGTCGCAGATGTCGTCGAAGAGGGCGTTGAGTTGTGCGCGCTGCTGCTGCACATATGGTCTCAGGATCGTCATCAGTACCGTTCGGTTTGCAGTGCTGTGGAGCGCAACGCGATGGTCAGTGTGAGGTGGTGCAGTGTTGAGAAGCAGTGAGTCAGTGAGTCAGTGAGCGCGTACGCGCATGTGTATGCCGAGTGTGTCGCATGGAACAGCAAGGCTTGAAAGTCGCATGAGGATGACTGACTTGTTTGCAATATTCTGCAACAGCTTTGCAATCTGCGTCAGTGTTTTCCGCGTGTACGAGCTTGGCTTGCGATGCACAATGCCAAACGCCTGCAGGACAAAGAGGGAACGGCGTGGGTGGCGTGAGTAAAGAAATTGAAAATGAGCTAGAACAACAAACGCGTGACCAACCCATATACATGTGCACAACATCCAACACACACGTACACACACACACACACACACACACACACGCACACACGCACACACACACACACACACACACACACACACACACACACACACACACACACACACACACACACACCTCTGGGGAGACGATGGCCGGGTTGATGTATCTGAGGAGGAAGAAACCGCCGACGTGCGAATAGATGACGTCTCTGTTGACGCCCTCGAACCGGGACCTGCACAGGTTGCGGATGGTCTTGCACAGCCACCGCACTCCATACGGAATGGTGTTGACGCTGCACAGCGAAGAACAAAGAGGGGGAGGGGGTTAAGAGCGTCAGTAAACGGAAGATGTGTGTGTGTGTGCGTGATTGTGTGTGTGTGTGTGTGTGAACATGTGAAGAGGAAGAATTCGTGTGTGTGTGATTGTGTGCGTGTGTGTGTGTGCGGGCGTTTGTTTGAATGTACATAAATGTGTGTATGTTTGTGGGTCGGCATGCTATTGTGATTGTGACCGCGAAGCAGCCCAATTCTCAATTCTCAACACACAAACGTTGAAGAAGCGCAGAGTGGAATGCAAGTCAAAGTCATGACATCAATCAAGACCAGTAGCCATCACCCATCATCTCACGACACCACCACCGAGAGCGAGTGCCAGCTCACACCTCCTGGCGATGGCTTTGATGAATCTGTCTGTCAGCTCTTGCAGCATCTCGGCTCGCTCTTCAACCGCCTCCTTCACCTGTCACGTGTTTACATGTGTGTGTGTGTGTGTGTGTGTGTGTGTGTGTGTGTGTGTGTGTGTGTGTGTGTGTGTGTGTGTGTGTGTGTGTGTGTGTGCGTGCGTGCGTGCGTGCGTGCGTGCGGGTGCGAGGAAAGCTGTGCACTTCACATCACACCATACACCAGGAGCAATCCATCACTGTCTCCATCTTGCTCAAGCCTCCCTACAATCCACCCCTCACCCCCTCGGCCATCCACTTCCATCCACCCCTCCCTTCAACCCCACCATCGCACCACGCCCCAACTGCCCACCTGCGGGATGTTGAACGTCTCCTCCGATGAAGCCGGCATGGGGGGAAGGTCGACGCTGTCGCCCTCCAGCTCGCGATAAACTTTCGCCGGATCTGTCTCAAGCGGCACATCGTCGAGGTTGTACACCAGATCAACCTGTCGTATAGAAGGGGGGGGGTTGTTGCATCAAGAGGAGGTGTGAAGGGTGTTGAGTGTGAGCGTGCGGGTGAGTGCGAAGGATAGGTTATTGACGACAATGCCCGTGGTTCACAGTGTTTGCCCTCTATTCCTTCAACAGCACCCATCACACTCGAACAAGCACACACACACACACAAACAAGCACACACACTCAAACAAGCACACACACTCAAACAAGCACACACACACAAACAAACAAACACACACACACACAAACAAGTACACACACACACGCTGCACCATCCATCACCTGTGCCTTGAGGGCGTCCTTGAGGTACTGCTGGCCAAGACCGCGGCGCGTGTATGTCGTCATCATCCGCGAAATGGCAGTGTTGGAGCGCATCACGCTGTACGAGTGGCAGCATGGACGATGGCAGTGCATCGGGGTGGTGGTGGAGATGGTCATGGAGATTGTCATGGAGATTGTGGAGATGAGTACATGGTGCAGAGAAGACGGGGAGGGAGTGGTGAATGGATGCAGGGTGAGGAATGAGGGACGAATGGGCGAAAGTGCCGAGTGAGAGTGGCACTTGCAGTGTGTGAAAAACAACGGTTGGTGGTGATGGACAGGTGACAACGGTGCCTGTGGAGAGTAGAATGTGTGGAGGGGAGGAGGAGAGCGACAAGAACACCACGACAGGCACGCGTGCAGTCACCAATCCCTGGCCACCCAACTCACGATCCAGGGTCCTTTGCGTTGCTGTACTCCAGCTGGAGAGCGTGCTCGAACATCTTCAGCAGCAGATGCTCTTCCCGCGGTTCATAGGTCCCAAAGAGTGAAAACATCACTGTTTGCAGGAAGTCTGCACATGCAGATGGTGAGGTGGGTTGGAACAACAAGGAGCGGTCACGGTAATGACGTCGTGAGGAGAATGAGCAGAATGGACCAAGGGTTGTGGTTATGCGAGGGAGAAGAGCACCTAGCAGTGCCTTGCACTGACGCACAAGGCACACACACACACACACACACACGCATAATGCACACACACACACAACTTGCAAGCATTGAGCAAGCTTCTGCGCACCGTCAATCTCCGAGATGCTGAGCTTGTGTGCAAGCTGGGCGACATATGAGGGATTCTCTTGCAAGATCTTGAACAGCTGCCCGTACACGCGCGTCTGCTTCGGCGTGATCACTTTGCCTAAGGAACATCATATGTGTGCATGTGTGCGTATGTGTGTGGCAGTGAGTGAGAGTGGAAGCCATGCATGCTTGTACGTGTGAACATACGCGCTTGTGAAAGTGGGTGGCATCATTTCATGCAGTGATCATAGCAGGATCAGATGTGAGGCCAGCCACTTGGGCATGACAACGCGCTTAACTCATTGTCACAAAAAATTTACCTTTGTGCAGCGTGAATGTGTAGTTGAACAACTTGACATCAATGTCCTGTTTTGTGGAGGTGGAACGTTGTGTCATCATCACACGTGCAATGGCGGGAGGATGGAGTCAGTGAGTCGCTAAACAAAGCAAGACACCGCACACGTACGTGCTGCTCTTGTACGCAAGCGCACAACCATGTGCAAACGCACATGTGCAAGCACACTCGTGTCACACGCGCGCACACGCACACACACACACGCACACACACGCATACACACATACACACACACACACACCTCCACGGTGATGCGGTGGTGGATGAGGAGTCCGATGTTGTCGTCGAGGGTGTGCAAGTTCCTCTGCAGTCGAAAATTGACCTCGCACTGCTCAGCGAGCTGTCGGCGCAGTGTGACGAGCTCTGCTCGCAATGGCGCCAGTGGTGTATGTGTTCACGTGTTCATAGAGGATGTGAGAAGGTTGAATGGCTGTGGCTGTTGTGACCACACGGTGCAACACACACACACACACACACACACACACACACACACACACACAACAGACGACACACACACACACACAAATTCAATCCCTGACTTTTAAAGTATTAGTATTAGAAGACACAGCCCAACCACTTCGGCCCGAAGGCGACTAGTTTAATACAAGATTGGCTTTTACCCTGGGGACCTCGGCTTCGTACCGGCGCAGGGTCACTGCAAACGGGCCTTAACGGTTACTGTCCCCGAATCATGGGCTTATAAAGTTCTAAGAGTCTGCTCGTCCCTGCGGAGCACACACACACACACACAACAGAGCACACACACACACACACACACAACAGAGCACACACACACACACAACAGAGCACACACAACAGAGCACACACACACACACACACACGGCACGCACCTGTCTTGAGAGAGGAGTAGTCATCGTTGAGGGATTCCGAGTGCAGGAATTCGTCAGCGCCGAGAATGACCGTTTCCCGACACGCCGCCTCTCTGCTCTTCATCGTGCTCAGCGCTCGCAAATGCATCTCCGTGTCAGATGGCACACGCTGTTGCAGTGGTGGTGGTGAGGGGCGCAATGTGAGGATGTGTGCATGTTGCGACTCGAACGAGAGACGTCACCGAGCCCTTTGGGTGATTGCCACACACAAACAGACAAACAAACAGACAAACAAACAGACAGACAAACAAACAAACAGACAAACAAACAGACAAACAAACAAACAAGCAAGCAAACAAACAAACAAACAAACAAACAAACAAACAAACAAACAAACAAACAAACAAACAAACAAACAAACAAACAAACAAACAAACAAACACACGGAGTCCTCACCTCTGCGTCTGCAGGTCGTTGCGTGTCGTTGCACGTGGCGAGCATGTCCGCGCTGGGCGCAGCAGCAGTGGCGTGGGCCTGTAGTTGCTGCTCTTCGTCGTTGTCGTCGTTGTCACGTGCGTGCGTGTGTGCAACCGCGTCACGTGTGCCGGCCGATGACCGTGGGATGCGGAAGGATGCCTGGCTCCCCTCTGGTGGTGGTGGTGGCAAGGGAGGAGGTGTGATGTTTGGTGGATGAGGAGGCATCAAGAGCAGTTGGAACACGACCAAAGCAAACACACACACACACTCACACATAGACACAGACAAACAAACAACCAAACACACTCACATCGACACACATAGACACAAAACAAACAACCAAACACACTCACACACATCGACACAAACAACAAACAAACACACACACACACACACACACACACAAACAAACACAAACACACACACACACACACACACACACACACACACACACACCGCGGGACTGGATGTCGATGAGCGCGAATTCGGCCGCGTGGACGGCGCTGCTGCGTCGGCGTCGGCGTCGACTCGATGCCCTCTTCTTGCTGCGCCGTTTGGAGCTCGCGCGCTTCCTGATCTTGCTTGTCTGCAGGTTGAGGTAGATGAGAAAGTCGGTCGACAGCTCCGAGTTGAATGCCTCTGAGAGTCGACGCGGCAGCTGCATTGGCTCTGGTGTGTTTCCGTCGCCCGTTACACACAGCTCTTCGCTCTCGCCACTCGCCCCCAGCAACCCGTCGTCGTCCTCGTCCTCCTCCTCCTCGTTGTCACCTCCACTTGCCGTTCTCGCGCGTGTGCGCGCGTATCTGACTGCACGCGCGGGGGCTGTTGTCGGCCGTTCGCGCTTACCGTTGCCACCGTACGCCTCGTTCTCCACAACTGCAACTGTGCTTAGTCGACGTTCACCACCAACGGCGGCAATGCTGCCAACGCCACGCTGTTTGTTGTGCACGTTGTCGTTGTCGTCGTCGTTGTTGTTGTTGTCGTATGGGGTGGTTGGCGACGTGTCAAAGTGATAGATGCCCTCTGTGTCTGTCAGCGCCGTTGTGGACCGGAATGAGGCTCCGCTCGTGTCTCCCCTGGTCTTTGATGTCACTGGCAGCTGCAAGTTGGCCGCACCCGTCACTCTTGTTGACACCGAACCGCTCTGCTGCTGCTGCTCCTGCTGCTCCTGCTGCTGTTGGTGGTGGTATTGTGCTGTGTTTGTTGTGCTTGCCTCGTTGCTGTGCTTGCTGACGTTTGCAGTGGCAGACTTGTAGCTTGGAGTGCGATATGGAGGGTTGTTGTCTTGCGAACCACCCACGCCCTGCTGCTGCTGCTGCTGCTGTTGCTGTCGATCAAGGCTGTTGTTGCTGCTGCTGCTGTTGGTGTCGTCGTGTGGAAGCTTGTCCGTGCTGGAGGTGGTGCATAAGGTCGCACCTTGGTCAAGAACAATGACCATCTGCGCCCCCTGAGTTCCATCCATGTTCATTGGTTATCCTGCACCTACTACGCGCTCCGACCGCTTTTGTGGCCTGCGACTGCTTGTTGCGTCCTGTGCTTTGTGCTTGGTGCCACCTGCACTCATTCACATGCACACACACACACACACACACACACACGTCATGAACAGCGCCGGAAGATGCACGCACAAGATGTAAGTTTTGAGAGTGTGTGATGGGAACAGGTGTGAACGATGGCGCGTTGCTTTGCGTGTGGTATGTAGGTGCGTTTGTGTGTGGTCGTGAATGTACACACTTCGACTGCCCGCCCCTCGAGCGTCATCACCCGGATGACACGATAGTGGTGACGAGCTCAACAAGAGACAGGCCGGCAACACAAGGTACACTCAAGTGTGTGACTGTGGCGTTCCCACCAACACACATCCACACATGCAGTATGGGCTCGTCACGCAGTGTCGTCGTCGTGCGCATGCCACAGGTGCCCTGATGGTGGCGAAACCGCGCCAACGCCAACGTCACACATCACACTTGCGCGCGCGCACACACACTCACCTCGCAAGAAGAGACGTCGTCGCTGGTGTGTGCGGGCTGACGTGTTTCCTGCTATTTGCTGTGCTTGTTGTGGGTGCGTTGGAATTGAACGTGCCGTCCTGTGATAGCTTGCTTGGCGCGGTGAGTCGTCGTCGTCGCCGTCGTCGCTGTGCACCTCCCGCCTCTTCTTCTTTCTTGCTTGCTTCCTCCCTTCCCTTTTTTGCTCTCTTCCTTTGCGTGCGTCTCGCTGACTGACCACTCTGACAAACTTGCTTGGCAAACCCCCAACGTCAACTTCACATCAACAGCAACCAAGCAGCCAACAAGTGCAGCAAGCAAGCAAGGAGCAACAGCGGATACAGACCAGCCATGCCAACAAGAAGAAGCAAAGCTGCTGCTGCGGTGCGTTGGGTGTTTTGGTTTGGCTGAATGGAATGCTGTGTGTGTGTTGACATTTGCTTCGCCACTTCGCTCCTTGCTTCGCCATCTTCGCTACTCCGCTGTCCTTCCCCTTCGTCAGCCAAAGGCCACGCCCTGTTGCTACTCTTTGTGCTGTCGTAAAACAAAACAGGAGTATGGACGATTCGCCGTATTTTCATTGGTTTGTCGGGTCCGATCCAACGCCCACACACTTGCGCTCTCGCTTGCTTTTGCTTGGCCTTTGCTTCTTGGTGTTTGTTTGAGGTGGTGCGGTGCGGTGTGGCAACAACGTCGACGAACGAAGGTGAAGGTGCACATACAAGTGGTGGTGTGGGTTGGTGTATGCGTGCATGTGTGTATGTGTGTATGTGTGTATGTGCTTGCGTGTGAATGTGTATGTGCTTGTGTGTGTGCATGTGAGTGTATGTGAGTGTGATTTTTGTGTTGGTTTGTGTTGTTGGCAGTGCCGGTTGGTTGTGTTCTGCCAACATCGACTCTCACGGTGCTCGCCACCCATCACTCATCACAACGCCGCAGGGTCAAGGAAGTATAACAGGAGGGAAGGAGGAAGAACATGTCAGAGTCCGAGGAGGACGGCAGCTACTACTACTCCTCATCAGGGGACGAGGAAGACGATGAGTCTGATGACGAGTTCGTGTCTGCCTGCAGCGAGCTGAGCAGTGATGAAGAAACCAACGTCATGTGGGACGCCCTGGTGAAGGAGCGCACATTCCCCCACGCATCGTCGTCAACAACGCGCAGCCCCAACAGCAGCAAAAAGGGCCACGGCGGTGCTGACGGTGGCAGCAATGATGCCGGTGAGGAAGGCACAGGCGAGCAGGACGACGACGACGACGACTTGGTCCACGAAGACTTTGCTGTGCCTTGCCAAGGCGGCGTGCAGCTGACACCGAGCCTCATTCTGTCAAGCATACAACGACAGCAACAACAACAACAACAACAACAACAACAACAACAACAACAACAACAACAACAACAACAACAACAACAACAACAGCAACAACAGCAACAACAGCAGCAGCAGCAGCAGCGACAGCAGCAGCAGCAGCAACAACAGCAGCAGCAGCAGCAGCAGCAGGATGGCCGTGGGAGCGACGGCGAAGGCCCCATCCTTGGCTGCGATCCGCTGTCGCCAACCACAACCTGGGTGTACGACGACGCCACACCGGTCAAGCGGCGGCCATCGCAGGTGCTGGTGGAGGAGGCGCGGAACAGCGCAGAAATCGCCGACAACGGCGCCGTGGAAGACATTGACATTGCGTCGCTCACGGTCTCACCCAGCGATGTGGCCACCAAGACACAGGCGCCTGCTGCGCCGACACACGCCGAAGCACGTGCAAGCCATCACGCGTCCGCAGACAGCCCTGCCACAGCCACACCATCAACGCCAGCAACCGCACCAACAGCGTCAGCATCAGCGGCAATCAAGGTGCCGGCCAGGACGAAACGCGCCGCCGTCAAAGCCGCGCAGGGCGCATCGAGGACATTACCATCGTCATCGCCGCCACCGCCCGTTGCTCCTCCGCGGCGGCGGCGCAAGAAGCAGTCAGCTGCACCAGCAGCAACACCGCAGGCACCACCACCACCACCATCATCAGCAGCACCGCAGTCACAACAGAACACACCAAGCCACCAGTCTCAATCACAGCCACAGCAGGGCAACAAACAGCAACAACAACAACAGCAACAACAGAGTGGTGACTCTGCCCTCTCCAGTGAGGAGAGCACACAGGCGATCGTGCATCTGGAGAACAGCAACGCTGGCACCGGCACTGGTACCGGCAGCGATGGTCATGGGGATGGTCATGGATATGGTGGGCACTTGATGCGCACACCACCCATGTCACCGACAAACTTTCCCGGGCTCAAGGACGGCCTGACAGATGATGTGCGTGCATGTGCTCGCATGGATGAGCTCCTGTTATCCTCGCGGGCGGGCGGGGGGTTGTTTGTGATGTCTTGTTGTGGCGACGTGTTGGTGTTCACGCTGTCTGCTTGAGCACTTTTGTGCGCGCACACATGTACACATGCGCACACGCACGTCAATTGCCACCACAGCTCTCACAGCCACCTCCACACACATCAACACACACGCACACACACACATCCACAAACACACATCCACACACACATGCACCTCCACACACACACACACACACACACACACACACACCTCCACGCACATCTCCACACACACACACACACACACACACACACACACACACACACACACACACACACACGCAGGAGATTCTGAAGCGCGTGCAGGTCAAGTGCCTGGACACTGGCGAAGTGATTGCGCTCTCCGATGCAGAGCGACTTTTGCCTGCAGGCATTTCCCCGCTCTCTGTGCAGATGATGCGGCGAACCAACGACTACCCGACACAGCCGGCGTCGCCAACACAGCACAGCCATCACCACAAGCAGAAGCAGAAGCGTTCAAAGCGCCGGCGCCGCCGCCTTCGCTCCAGACCAGCCAACACGGCCGAGGGCAGCGCTGGTGGTGATGGTGGTCCCCGTGCTCACGATGGCGCTGATCGTGACCACAGCGGCAAGGGCGATGGCAACAGTGCGGATACGAGCGTGCACACGGCTGTGATGGGCCGCGGCAAGAGTGCGCCTGTCAGCGGCCACGTGTCCCCCACGTCGCCATCGTCGTCATCAGCACACGAGCAGCACCGCGGGTCAACGGGCCTCACCACTGCGCTGGCGTCGACACTCAGTCGCATCCGTTCCCGCGCTGCCGTCCGCGCTCGCCTGACTGGAAAGAAGGGCGACAGGACCCGACCTGATGTTGGTGATCGCGGTGATGCTGGTGCTGATGATGGTGGTGAAGGTGAAGGTGAAGGAGGTGGTGATGGTGCTGGTGTTGGTGTTGGTGCTGGTGTTGGTGTTGGTGTTGGTGATAACAGTGGCAGTAGCGGCGGTGGCCGTGACGAGATGTCGCGTGGTGCTGGTGGCGATGACGAAGGTGTTTCCCATTCCAGCAGTGAGCAGCAGGCTGATACTGCGCACGCACCAACACCACATGCAACGACCACAGACGCAACCGGGGACTCAGATTCACAACAACAACAACAACAACAACAACAGTCGGCGTCAGCAACGTTGTCGTCCGTGTCCACGGCTGCGCGCGCGCGTGTGTCGCGCTTCATTGCTCGCGCGAGAGAATTCACAATTACACACACGCGCGGGCGGCACGATGGCGATGATGGCGATGATGGCGAGGGTGTGTTTGGCGGCGGCAAAGACACGGTGTTCCGTGTGCGCGGCAACGTGAGCAAGGACAGGCCACGTGTGTTCACCAACATGCATCTTGTGCAGCGCATCAAGGGCCACCACTCCGGACAGGTGTGGGCCATGAAGTTCTCCGCGTGCGAGCGCATGCTGGCAACGGCCGGTAAGGACCGCGTCGTGCGCGTGTGGGCGCGCAAGGAGGCGTTTGCGGAATTGCATCAGTCCCTGATTGACAGTCGTGGGGATCCTGCTTACGCAACACGCGAGATCCGGGAGCCAAGCGAGACGGACGTGCTGCACCCAACCCCGCTGTGCGAGTTTTATGGGCACACGGGCGACATTCTGGACCTGTGCTGGACGCCTGCCAAGGGCAACTCAGCGCTGCTGTCGTCATCCATGGACATGACAGTTCGCCTGTGGCATCTTCTGAAGAAGGAGTGCTTGATTGTCTTCCAGCACCACGACTTTGTCACCGCCCTCGCGTTCCACCCACAGGTGCCGGTTTCGTGTGTGTGTCTGTGTGTGTGTGTCTGTGTGTGCGTCTGTGTGTCTGCGTGTGTGTGTGTGTGTGTGTTTGTTTTGGGGCGGGGGAGGCATGGTGGTGATGTGGTGGTGATGTTTGATGCGCGCACGCGCGTGTGTGCAGAGTTGTGTGTGTCTGGCTGTCGAGTTGTCCGTCTGGCTGCATGCAACGTGGCGCTCCTCCCTAATGACTCCACCCACAATGATATTCACCTCACCGCCACCACAAACATCTCCTCCGCCACAACGTCCTCCCTCCACCACCACCACCAGAACGAGCTGTACTTCATGTCCGGGTCCATGGACTCGAAGGTGCGCATGTGGAACATCGAGAAGCAGCAGATGATCATGGAGAAGGAAATCATCCCAGAAGGTCCGTTCTTGCCGTGTGGCAGCGGAGTTATCCGGCGGTTGTGACGTGCACACGTGTTTGTGGGGGGGGGGGTGCGTGCATGCGTGTGTGTGTGTGTGTGTCTGCGTCTGTGTAAGTACCATCACACATCCTTCACGACCACCTCCTCACAACTACACACCACGCACGCACACACACATGCACGCACGCGTGCTCTTACTCCCAATCCCCTCCCCATTCCACCCTGGATACAGTGCGCAGCAACAGCAATTCGTTTGTGACGGCTGCGGTCTTCATCAACGACGGGCGACACATTGTGGCCGGCACGTACGACGGCAGATGCGTCTTCCTCGACACCGCAAACGTGAGGCGTCGGTCCGGCTTGGTGTGTGTCCTGTCAGTCAAGTGGCGTAATGTATAGTAGCGCATGTGTTGCATGATCGCTCATGTGTTGCATGATGGCTGATGTGTGTGTGTGTGTGTGTGTGTGTGTGTTGGTGTGATAGGCATGCACCGCGTGTTCCCGTTTCGTTGTCTGCTCGCCTCACTCGTGTTGCCCCCCCCTCCCCGTTTTAAAAAACTCCCCCTTACACGTTGCACTGATCGCGGTAATGCCGCCTCCTGCCCACCACCACCACCTCCTCCGCCTACTTCACTCCAACTCTGTGTATTCCACTTTCCACTGTGACACGGAGCAGAAGTTGCGCTATCACACTGCGCTGCACATTCAAAAGAAGGGCAACAAGGTGCTCCAGCGGCTGTTCTGTGCAAGCGTGCATGTAGGCTTAGATTCCGTGATCTTAGATCAGAGGGAGTGCTCTGTGTGCTCTGTGTGCTCTGTGTACTTGTGTGCGCGTATGTGCATGTATGCGTGGGTATGATTGCATGTATCCGTGTTTGAATGAGTTTGCGTGTTTGAATGCGTATGCATGCTTGAATGCGTGTGAGTAGGAGCACTGTATCCCATTTTCGTGCCTGCTGTGCTGCCTTTGTTGCTCCAAACTTGCTTCACACACTCACACACACACACTCTCTCACACACACACACACACACACACATACACATACATACATATACACACACAATACCCCCTGCCCGCCTTTCTTGTTCTTTTCGCAGATTGGGGCGAAGGTGAGCGGGCTGGATGTGTCGCCAGACGGCTCGCTGCTGCTCGTCTCCTCAAACGACAGCCGCATCCGCATCTTCGACCTCAAGGACTACTCCCGCGTGTGCAAGTTCCAGGGCTATTACAACTCCTCCAGCCTCATTCGCGCAGTCTTCAGGTACGTGTGTGTGTGTGTGTGTGCGTGTGCGTGTTTGTCTGTGTGTGTGCGTGTGCGTGTCTGTCTGTGTGTGTGTGTGTATGTGCATGCATGTGTGCGTGGGTGCGTGCGTGGGTGCGTGCGTGCGTGCTGTCTCGCACCAGTGTCCATTCTGCTTGCGGGCGTCTGTGCCATGCTTCTCATTTAGAATCATGCTGCCTCCATGCCCGTGTCTCTGTCCACCGCCACGCCACTGGATGAGCAGTCCCGAAGCAAAGTACATTGTTGCCGGATCAGAGAACCGCCGCGTGTACATGTGGGAAACAGTCAGGACATTTCCGCCGCACGCAAAGTGCGTGTACTTGTTGGGATTGTCTCCGTGTGTGTGTGTGTGTGTGTGTGTGTGTGTGTGTGTGTGTGTGTGTGTGTGTGTGCGTGTGTGTGTGCGTGTGTATCTGCGCCTCTGTGTGTGCGTGTGTCTGTGTGTGCGTGTGTCTGTGTGTGTGTGTGTGTGTGTGTATCTGCGCCTGTGTGTGTGCGCGCATACGCCTCTGTGTATGCACGTACACTCGCGGTTTTCTTTTGTGCGAGCTGTCGTGATTATCAACTGGCGTCGGCTCACATTCTGCGTCGTTGCACCACACCAAACACAGGCGTGTGCAGCGCGACAAGAACCCTGAGCACTACTCATTTGCAGGTGTGTGTACGTGTGCGGCTTTGCATGGGCCTGTTATTGATGCACTCTCATGCATTCATGCATGCATTGCATACACTGAGAATAACACACATCCACACCACTCCCTGTTCCACTCACTTGCTCACACATGCACACGCACACACATATACACATGCCTCCTCTCGCACACATCCTCCCCCGCCCCCCTGCCTTCACTTCCGAACCACGGCACCAGGCCACTCTGCTGCAGTGACACAGGCGATTGCAACGCCGCAGGACTGTGCAGACAGCTTTGGGGCGCGTCTTGGCGTGGTCTCTGCCGACGCCATGGGCGAACTCCGTGTCTTCTTCCACATGAAGCACCAAGCAGGCGTCGAGTGATGCAGTGGTGTGACAACCAGGTGTCCGTTGGCTTCGTGTGCGCGCTGTGTACAGCGCTGTGTTGTTGTTGTGGGCATTGCCGTGGTGCTGTTGTGTGCGCAACGTGTAACTTGCAGGTGAAATATGTGTCTTAGTCCATCTGCCGTTTCGCTTCGTTGATAGCCAGGCTAGCTTGTTGCCTGCCCGATCCGTTTTCGCTGTGGTGCTCTGCTGCTGCTGCTGCTGCTGCTGCTGTTTACTTAAGTTGTTGTTGTTATTGTTGTTGTTGTTGTTGTTGTAGTTGTAGTTGTTGTTGTTGTCGTTGTAGTTGTTGTTGTTGTCGTTGTAGTTGTTGTTGTTGTTGATGATGGGGCCACATTCCCTTTTGTTTTTTGGATTGATTTGCTCGGCTTTCTCTTCTTCTTTGTGCATACTTTTGCCCCAAACTGCCTTTAAACGTATCAACCCCGAGCGCGCGCGTATGTGTGAACGTGCATGCGTGAACGTGTGTGGTGTGTAATGAGTGTGTGAACGTGTGTGATGAATGTGAGTTATTGAACTGACATGAATGCACACACCTCCACACACACACACCTCCACACATACACACACACACCTCCACACACACACACCTCCACACATACACACACACACCTCCACACACACACACACACCTCCACACACACCACCACACACACACACACACACACACACACACACACACACACACACACACACACACACACACACACACTCACACACACGCGCACACACACACACACTGACAGTGTTCTTATAAATAGGGCTTGTCCTATTTCAAGGTCCCCACGTGTGTGTGTTGAGCGGTTTCCATTGCTTCGTGTTACCTTTTCTCCCGTGTCTTCCCACCCTCGCCGTTGTTGTCACCTCTCCTCACATCCTCACGCTTCACCCTTCGCCTCCCCACTCCCCCTCCTCCAAGAAACAAACACACTTACCCCACCGTCGAGATGACGTCTGTGCTTGGTAACAAGTTTGCCATCGCTGGCCTCGCCGTGGCCACGGCTGTTGTTGGTTACTGCATCTACTTTGACCAGAAGCGCCGTTCTGCCCCTGATTTCCGCGAGAAGCTTGCCGAGAGTACGTTTGCATGCGTTCGCCCCTGTGTTGGACGTCGGACTGTGTCCCAAACGTGCACATGTGGTGATTGAGCTGACGCGACCTTGTGTCCTTGTGGTTGTGTGTAAACGTGGGCGTGCCTGTTGCTTGTGTTGGTACCTTGGCGGCGTGTGCATATTCGCTCTCGCTTGTCTGTGAGTGTGTGTGTGTGTGTGTGTTTTGCGTTTGTGTGCCTTTGTCGACTGCGGCTGCACGCTTGTTTCCGAGTGCGTGTACACTATCCTGCAACTCTGTTGCCATTCACCCTGTCTGCTCTCCCATGAACAGAGCGCCGCCTGCAAAAGAAGCGGGAAGAGGAGGAGCGCAAGGCCCAGGTTCAGGCTGACGGCTCCCCCGCGGTGAGTTTTTCCACGCGTAGACACCATTCCATGCTGTACCTTGTCTGGGGTTATGCTCTCGTTTCGTAGCCCCATCTCCGTGTCCTCCTTTCCCCTCGTGGCCTCCACTCTCATGTCCTCACCTCTCATGTGTCTCTTGTGAAAACAGCCCGAGACGCTTCGGGATCAGCGTGCGCTGAAGCAGTACTTTGTTGACACCATGGCCGCTGGTCAGGAGGCAATGCAGCAAGGTGCGTGTGCATGTGCATGTGTGTGTGTACATGTGCATATGTGTGTTCATGTGCATGTGTGTGTGTGTACATGTGCATATGTGTGTACATGTGTGTGTGTGTACATGTGCGTGTGTACATGTGTGTGTGTACATGTGTGTGCGTGTGCATATGTGGGTTTGTGCGTTCTTCAGTGAGGTGTACTCCCTTCTTGTTCCCGTTCAAAAGTCAAAGCATCCCATGCATCACCATTTGCCACAACCCCCTTCCCTTCCTCATCCTCCCACGCCCCCCCCCCCTCCTCTCTCTCCCTTTCCACCATCGCCACCCACGCTCCACCCTGCAGGCGAGTTTGACAAGGCTGCACAGTGCTTTGTGAATGCGCTGCGGGTGTACCAGGACCCCGCGGCGCTGCTGCAAGTGCTCAAGCAAACGGTGCCGCCGGAGCTCTTCATGCAGGTCGTGCAGCAGCTGCAGGCCCTCCAGGCAAAGGCACAGCAGGGCGGCGCACAGTAGCCATTGTGATGGGGCGGGTGCATGTGCTTTTGTATGTTGTGTGTGTGTGTGTGTGTGTGTGTGTGTGTGTGTGGTGTCGTGGATGTGTTGACATGTGTGTGTGTGTTGTGTGTGTGTGTGTGTGTGAGTGAGCTGCTAGCTGTTGGTTTTGTTACCCGTCACACAATCCAGTCCCTTATCCAACCACTATCATCTGTGCCACGTTTTCTTGCTGTTGTGGTTGTTGTGAAGCTGTAGTTCCTATTCTGTCCCCCCAACACTGTCGTTCTGTTTGCTTTGCTTTTGTCCATTGCGTATTTTGTCTCCCTTTTGTTGCGTGGAGGTGATGTGTTGAGTGCAACCCTTTGTCGGAGTGGTGATGTGTTGAGTGCAACCCTTTGTCGGAGTGGTGTGTTGCGTTGCTGCCCGTTGATTTTCAAGTCTCCACGTCCAGGCACCATGCGTGCATACTGTTGTCGTCGTGTTTGTTGGTGGCGGTGTTTGTTGCAATGTGGGGGCGGCGGAGTACGAGTGATATAGTTGCCCAAGTTGCATCAATACTTCCTTTCCTTTTGGGTGTGGAGGGATGAGGGGTGTGTGCGTCCTTGTCTCTGTGTGGTCTGTGTGTACGTGTACGTGTGTTGTCGCAAGTGCATGTATCACGTCGTCGAGTGGATTGTGAATTGAAGTTACGCGCTCAAACACACAAGCAACGCTTGTATTGCAAATCACATGTAAAGTGGCACACAACAAGAACAACAACACACACACACACACACACACACGGAATCCAACGTGCTTGGGGCACATCTACAAAGTAGCCATTGACATCATTGACAGAGACATGACGCACTGTCAACCCCAAATTCACGTCAACACGCACAAGATGCCAAGCGGAAAGCCTTGACGGCACTGATTACAACATGAACCACACTGACGGAATACGTCCACTGCACAGGCGAAGGAAGACCCATAGACACAAAAAGTTGTAGCTCGGCCATCTTAGTGTGCACTTGCTGCTTGGTCTGATGCGTCCTTCATGCGCTTCAGGTACCTGCGAGTTTAGGCGTGTGAGAGTTAGTGAGTGAGTGAGTGAGTGAGTGTATGTGTATGTGTGTGTGAAAGTGTGTAAGTGAGTGTGCGTGTGCGTGTGTGTGTGTGTGTGTGTGTGTGTGTGTGTGTGTGTGTGTGTGTGTGTGTGTGTGTGTGTGTGTGTGTGTGTGTGTGTGTGTGTGTGTAGTAGTAGTAGTAGTAG